GTCCCCATAAGGATATGTTTACCCTACATGTGCGCACGTGTGTATGTGTGTGAGAGAGGTGGGGGGGGTTGTATTTACCACATTGTGGTTCCAAATGTCCCTGCAATGTGGTAAAACCTCTTGGCTTCTGGGGACATTTTTCGGGTCCCCGCTATATAAATCTCAATTTTATTTAAAAAAAGAAGAAGAAAAAATTGGTGACAAAAAAATGCCAAAGATCTTGTGTTTTGTGTGGTTACTTATGGTTAAGGTTAGTGCTGGGTAGCGGTTAAGGTTGTCATTTGATATGGATACAAACCTGCGCGTGTGTGTGTGTGTGTGTGTGTGTGTGTAGTTCGATATTAACTGTAAAAAAATGTGTTCTGAATATATAAATGTCTTTATATTTGGGAAGTAAGGAAATTTGGCGTGCCGTGTTTAGAAAATAGATTTTTTTTTGGTTGTGTGGTATGTGACATGTGGCCCGAGGCTTCTGTAAGAACGGCTTCTGTGAGCATAATGAACACTGAAATGTCAGTTAAAATGGCTGTCAGAAGACTGGCAAAGGGACATTGAAACTGCAGTTTTAAAGATTGCTTTACATTTGCTTAACAAAGGTATGAAAACTGAAGTTATGGGCTGTAACTTGGGGAAGGTAACATTTTTGTACAGTATGTAAAACGTTTTCACAGGTATGTGTTGGATACTGTGGTCCCCGGGACTTTACTTCCTTATAGGTGCAGTTAAAAGTCACACGGCAGCTTAGACAGTTGAAGACGGTTTTAACTGCACAGTAACATTTTCACTGGACGACTGAGTGTGTTACCTGTTGTTTCTGTAGTCAGACTAACAAACCCCTGTTCATCAGTCACCGGCACCGCTGCCTGACCCGTCTCGTCTCCCCCAGGTAACTACCCCCGGCCCCCCAACTATGGAGGTACCCCCAGCGGTAGCTACAGTGGCCCCGGCCCCGGAATGACCAACAGCTTGGGCCTGAATGCCAGCAGCCCTATGCACGGCCAGGGTCCCGGGCAGACATGCAGCTCCGGGCCGGTAGGCCGCAGCCCCGGCCCCGCAGTAGGTGGGCGACCGTACCCCGGCACCATGAGCGGGGCGGCCCCTGGCTCACCCAGCGTGCCCCAACCGACCGGCCCCGGCATGGGCCCGCCTGCTGCCAACATCAGCCGCAAGGCCCAGGAGGTCGGCGGCACGGCCAGCTCCGCCCAGGGCAGGTGAGTGGCAGCCCGTCGTGCCGGCGTCCCGCAGCCAGGGGGCACCCTGCATCCTCTGCCACATTCTCCTCTGCGTCTACCACCATCTTTAGCCGCATCGCTGACATCGAGCTTCATTTAAAAGTCTGGCGGCCCTCGAGGGAAGCTCGGGCCCTCCAAGAGGATCTGCGCTTTAATGGTGATTCCCATAAACCCGCCGGCCATCATGGAGGCAAAGGCCGTCAAACGTCCATAATGGGAACAGACCTTACAGCCAGCGGAAGCAACTGCAGAATAACAGCGCGTGCTCATTTTATAAGATTTATTTTATTTTTTGTAAAATTTCCCCAGTGCTTGAGAGTTTCTCCACGTCGTTTTGATGTGCTCTCTGATGGGAGGGGGGTCAAGCTTGAGGGGGTACACGCAGTGGCCTCGCTTTGAGTCCCGTTTGAGAGGGTCGTCTCTTCTCCGAGTCGCTATTTTTAGCTCCCCGTGAAGAGCAGTCGCTGTAATGAGGTGTCGGGCTCTCGTGGCTGCCCACTTGGAATGTTGGGGTTCTTTTACAGTGACCGGGGGGGCCCTCGCGCCAGGTCCCATTTAGGCTGCCGGGGGGCCCGAGCAGCTGCCCCCCTCCTTCAGCCCTGTAACCGCACGACTCCGTAAACTCCCGGCGAACCGGCGCGGGCGGAACAAGGGCGGGCGACGTTCCAGCCCGAGCGGCCGCCCAAAACCGCGGAGGGGGGCACTCACTGATTCTTTGCAGGAGAGCGAGTTTGTATCGGGGAAGAACATTTGCGCTCATTTTATTTTCATTTTTTTTGTGCTCAGTCACCTGGGGACCCGTAAAGGTGACCCTTTTATTGCGTTTCTCTCTGGAAGCCCCGCTTCCCCCCGCGTCAGATTTATGAATCTTTTAGCTACGTTATTAATCTTTATTTGTCATTTCACCCCCCGTTTCCCGCGTCCCTGTGACGTTTCGGGCTGCTCTATTCCTGAGGGTCGGTTATAACCCGAGAGGCTGGCCTGTGTCCCCCTCACTGCAGGCCTCCGTTTGCGAGGTCCCCCATCTACCTGGGCTCGTGGCCCCCAGCCCCCCAGCAGCTGCAGCCGCCGCCGGCCCTGGGCTCCTCTCCCCCTTCCTCTTCGCCGCAGTATGATCCCTACGGGTAGGTCCCTCAGTGTGGCTCGCCATCCTTACCCGGCAGCATGGCTATCGGCAGTCGCAGTGCCGGTTCGCAGTGCCGGGGAGCGCTAACCGAAGACACGCTGCATGCCCTTGTCCATGTCTCCCATCACAGGCATGGTCTGATTGGTCAGTTCGCCTGACATGTGATCTCTCACTGCACCTCTAACAGCTAACGGCTAACGCAGTGCGGCCCCTAACCATTTCACTGACCAGGCTAACGCGTGGTACAGCCTGCTAACCTAGCTTAGCAATCTAATGGAGAGTCTGAGACACCGGGTAATGTTCCCTGTAACAGTGTGTGTGTTGAGCTGAGCCATAAAGGGCACATTTGTCAGGGATGTAAATTCTCTCTGATGGTCTCTGGGGTTTGTCGCCTCTCCCCCGATGATTCTCTGGAGCATCGTCCATCTCCTCGTAGATCCACGCAGCCCCTGTGGCAGGAGAGGGCATCATGCGGCCGCCATGGTCCTTTTTGCAGCCATCTTGCAAAAAACAGTCATCATGGCTCGCGCTCGGTAATAATGACAAATTAGGCGCCGGCCGAGAGGCGCGGCACTCACTCCGGCATTCGGGGCCGCCGTCTGACAGCTGGTGATTAATGGCTGGTATCGGCTCTGGCGGCGGGTGGGNGTCCTGGAAGACGGATCCTCTGCGTACGGGATCTGGCGCGGTGCGTGCCGTGGTGCCGGATGAGCAGAGCTGTCAGTCACCCCTCCATATCCCCCTAAACGCGGCTCTCCAGGGTCGATGCAACTGGCCAAAGAGAGCCCCCCCCCGTGCTAGATTCAAACCAGGGGGGGCTGACAGGGGTAGGTATCACGCTCCTGGCCTTGATTAACGTTCTCCGATCGTATCTGGCTGTTGTGTTTTTTGCACGTCAGTCTTGGTTTGGTGGCAGCCCGTTTATCTGATTCCGACGCTGCGTCAATGTACCGTGCCGGCAAGGCCGGGGTCGAAGGTTAACCCGGCATCTGGCATTTTTCGGGAGGGGAAGAGGAGGAAGACGAAGTGGGGGACAAATCAGTCGGAGCATCTCTGCGCCTGCAGCGGCCTGAGCCTCGCATTGGGACGGGGGGGGGGGGTTGCGTGAGAAATCAAACATGGCTCATACATAATAAATAATCTCTATGCTCCCACCCCAAGCCCATCATTGTTGTTCATATTGTCCCCCCCACACTTTATTCCCTTTGATGTGACAGCATGTCTTTCAGGCTGCACTCAGATGTGGCTCACGTGAGGGGGGGGCTATGAATGTAATTAAAGCGCCCTGACAAAAGGACTGACAAACCCCCCCCACCCTACCCGGGCTCTCGGGTCCTCCAGATGACACTCGAAAGCGGGAGGTTGACAGACTCCTCACTCTGAAGGCACATGCCCCCCCCCCACTATATCTTCCCCCTCCCACGTGAGGGGGGGGCTATGAATGTAATTAAAGCGCCCTGACAAAAGGACTGACAAACCCCCCCGGGCTCTCGGGTCCTCCAGATGACACTCGAAAGCGGGAGGTTGACAGACTCCTCACTCTGAAGGCACATGCCCCCCCCCACTATATCTCCCCCCTCCCACGAAGAACGTGCCAGAAAGCGGGTCCAGCCGCCATGGCCAAATGAGCCTGCCCAAAGACCTTCGCCGGGTCCTGATCATTCCCTCTCCCTTGTTACGGTTTTGTTTCTTTGTTTGTCGCTCTGCAGAATGTCCTCGTCTCCTGTTTCTTTCTGTCCGCTATTTTCAAGTACATGTCTTTTTGGCCGCTGGCGCAGCTTCCATCGCTTTTCGCGGTCCACGGAGATCAGACCGGGCACCATGCTCTGCCGTCGCCGTCGATATTGCATCCTCGCCGTAGCGTTTCTGAGTGTGTATCACCTGAGTGGAGGTGGGGGGGTCTGCCCAGCATTGCCTTGTACACAGGCGGCCATAAACCAACCAATAAAGCGAAAAGAAACCTGCTGCTATTGGCTACTGAAGGGCAGGCCGGCTGTTTGAAGGAGTGTGTCCCGGTGTTCAACGGAAGGGGGCGGATTTTGGGAAAACTAAACGATTAACAGGAACCTTTGAATCCCAGCACCTCCTCAAAGCTGCAGGAGTGTCACAGTGGTGGGGGCTGAACAAAGAGGGGGAATGAAAAGCACGATTTTAATAAACCTATCAAGCAAATGAAAAGCTGAAGACAGAGGAGAAATTCTTCGGGAGAGGAAACAGTGTTGCCAAATAATTCATTTCTTACCTCCTTAGTAAGTAAATTTGCTAAATAAATAAGAGGCACTTGAATGTGAGTCGTCAAGAGCTGCCGCAAGCTGGGGGTGGGGGGGTGGGGGGACAGCCCATGCGAGGCAGGGAGACGTGTGTGATGAATGGCCGATATAAATGGCTTTTCTCCGCTAGAGCTGTTTCATGTGCTTGTTTTTTATTATTAATATATTATCATTATTGTTATTAAGCATTAAGCATTTCTCTGGAATTAGAAGTACTTGCCCACCCCCCCACCCTTTGGGTTCTTATATTCAGCCGAGCAGCAACAGTTTAAGTGCTCTCCGGGTGCTGGAACGGGGTGGGCGGGACCCAGTTCTCCTCTTCAGAACCCTGTCCTAGACGTTTGCATGGGAACGCCCGTCTTTGTGCCACCAGAGATCAGCGCCAAGCGTTACAGGCACCAGTGCTCCCGTCCGCACTGTGTCAGGAGCCGCTTGGGGTGGCGGTTCTTCCTGATTGGCTGTCAGGGGGACCCACCCAGGGTGTGACAGGCTGCTCCGTCGCCAAGGGGCGGGGCTTGAGCACCGCGTACGTGTGGCATGCTGTTGTCCCTCCCTGCCACTCCCTCTGGCGAAGTCTAGTGCCCCCTGGTGGCAGCCATCTCGGCGCCTGCTGAGACCCCCCGAGGGACAGAGGAGTGTGTCACACCATGACGGGGGTCTGGCCCCGCATGCATAAATTAAGCACAGAGAGGCTTTTAATGGCTTCTCTTTAGACATGAATTTGTAATAACTTCAGCCCCCTCCCTGAGTTACACACACAATGAGAGCCTCTGCAGGTCCTCTACTGTTTCTGATCATGCCTCTGGGGGGGGGGGAGTGACAGTATTTATCCACACCTCTTAAGGTTACCTTTTTAGACTAGTGTGAATTACAA